TGCTCGGAGGTGTGGGGCTGTGCTGCCCGTTACGGTGTTTTGTGACTTGATACGAGTTACGTTACTGTTAAGCACTACCCAGGAAACCGCACTTCATAGCCGTATTTTAGTTTCTGTTTGGTATTTCAAAATATCATCAGTTTCTCAACTTCTTTCCTGAAGCACGAAGAGCAGACCCAGTCGCTGGATCATTGCTGAGGGCTCCAAACACGTTCTCCCATTCAAAACTTCTCAGGGAATACATCCCCGAAGTCACATTAACTCTTGATCGTGATGTCAGGCTTGGGAAGTGTGTGCAGATGACAATTTAACAATAACATTTTCTGTTCCCATCCCTAGACGGTTCTCACAGTAGAGTAATTCAGTTTCTTGTGTTCTTTACTTCATACCATTTACCTGAAATCAGCAAAATACTCCTCATAATTTAACATCTTTCATGCTTGGTTACTCATAAGCACTAACTGGTAGTGGTTTTGTTTATCTAGTTTTAAGCTAACTCTTTCAGTCCAACTGTTCTTGTCTCTCTATTTTGTTACTTTGCTGACTGCTTTGGGGGTCAAACACTTTTTGACCCTTCTCAATTACAGAGAGTCTGTGAATAGTTGCAGTTAATTAATTTGCAGGCTATTGCAGGCACGTGGAAAAACAAGGACACTGTGGAGAATGCGCTTTTGATTTTTTTTTTTTTTCCTTTATGGTGTGGAGAGGATTGTTGTTGCTTTATGCTTGAGTGATTTCCCATCACAGTCCTTCACAGAGTGACTGAAGGAAAAGGCAGAGTCTGTCTGTGTGCCCAAATGGAAGGTGACACCTGAACCTCACCTGAGCGTGGACCAAGGGAGGGCAGAGACTTGACTGTGGAGCCTGTGGTGTGTGGTTGTATAGAAAGAATGGTGGTGGACTGACTTTTTGATTTGCATGGAATCACATAAAAATTTGACAGAGTTTATAGACCACCACCCTCTGTCATCTCTAGGGCCAATTTCACTACTGTTAATACTGACACTGTAGTGTAAGTCTGAGCCTCTCTCAAAGCTTGTTATGACTGCAGTCTTTCTGGCTTGGTTCTGTTTTAGGTTTACTAAGGTCGGACTTTTTTATATTTATGGTCTGGAGATAGGTTTTAGTTTGTCAAGAGGGCATGTTTGTCTCCTTTTATATGGTTCTTAATACAAGTTTGGGTAGATGTTAATGTATATGATTTGCTCCTCTTACAATCAGGAGTTTTATAGTAATTTCCATTAGGAAGGCACATGTAAATCTTGTTGTATTTTCTGTGGCGTTTTTTTACTTATAAAATGACTCTATAGATGAAAATTGGGAGGAAATGAACTTTTAGTTTGTAGATATTTTTATTCTTAACACAGTAACATGCTGTTTTTTAATGTTAGATATTCTAGTGGATAAATCTGTCTGTGGAAGTTTATTTCAAAGCATTGTTTTTAATACTCCTGTGGCTTTTATTCTCTCTCATGCCATCTTTTGTATTTTTCTTTAAATTTATCAGCCTTGTACTTTAGTAACAGTTAAGAATTGATGGGTTTGATTTTGGGTGATTAGGGTACATAAAGATTCCATCTTTGCAGATGTTTCTTTGAGAATTTTTTTAAGAGATAAATGAAGAAATGATAAATCAGAAAAGAGATGATTTAAAATGAGTATAGATTCTTATTGTGGAGCTAACTTTTTTTTCCCTGTTTTCATTCCTGGTCTGAAAAATAAGTCAGCCTAAGTTAGCCTAGGCCTTAAAACAAGCTCCTGTTTGACAAATCTCTGATTTTTGTTGAGTTATTTTTAAGTATATACTTCAATTTCTGCTTCATTATTTTTAGTGATGTGTGAGATTTTTTGAAATGGAAAGCTGTTGGAACATTTTAGTTCTGTTTATTGTTGACTACATTTTTAATAGATGAAAAAACTCCAAATGTTTTATTCTTTTTGTGATAACTTTTTTCTTTTCCTTTAGTATCCAACATGTGTATGGAGCTCAGCATCCGCCTTTTGATCCATTATTGCACGGAACGTAAGTTAACCTAATATTTAAACATTCAAGGTCTTTTGGATCTCCTCTGCCTTCTCTCCTCATTTTCTTTCTTGTTGGCTATAAAGCTTATTGTTAATCTTCCTTTTTCAGTTTTTGTCATAATGTTGACTTCTCTCTTTAACTTCTCTTTTGTGACTTCCTGATGTTTACCATGTTTGGAGCAACAAATCAGCTGTTTGGTTATTAACTAACGTAGTTTGCCAACTTTTATTATCTGTTTGTGGTGCTTATAAGCTGGAAATTGTGTGGTAAATACTAATCTTGATTTAGCAGGTGAAGTTTACAACTTGGGTAGTTTTGGCTTGTCAGCTGCTTTCCTATGTGTATCTTTCTGTTGATGGACAGGCTTTATTTGTCTGTGTAAGAGAAGAGTCTGGTTGTGTTGTAGATCATTTTGAAGCAGAGGTGGGCATTTTGCTTTTGAGTGAGAAGAAAGTAGATAGAATAGACTTTACAGTGGTTTAAATTTATTGCCTTAGATCATGATTATTTGATATCAGAACAGAGTGTACATGAAAGTGTCAATGTTATGTGAAACATCATTAGTAACCAAACTGATTTCATGCTGATAACCCACAAGTAATGCAAGGGAATGATTTTCATCTCCTTTTGGCTGAGGTGTTTAGCAAAATGCTGCATTCTGACGGCTTCTGCTTTTTATATCTTGCTTTATTGCCTTTTTTTAATAAAGACAGTTTGTTTTAAGCTTTTTCAAGGATAAAGTTGTTACTGGTTTGTTGGTAGATTTCATGGGTCTTTTGAAACCAGCATTGCTGCTAAAATGTTGGTGTATGTGAGAATTATGGGGAAAATTGTATAACCAGTGATATGAATGGCCCAAAGCAGTAAGGACAAAAAATAACAGAAGGAAAAGTGTTGTCTTGGAAGGAGGTAGTACTTCTGGCGGAGTTTTTCAAGGTCTGGTTTGAAATGGCACAAGAAGTAAACATGTGCTAGTCAATTTTCAGAGGATGCAGAGTTGAAGACAGTTGAAATGTGGGACCTTAGGACTGAAGAAAAGGAATGGGATGAATTGGTTCAAAGTGTGGAGTTATAAAGAGACCCAGTAATAAGAACTAGAAGTTAAGACCTCACTGTTGTAGACAATGATGATGACTTGACTGGAAGTGTCAGTGTTGTAACAGGTGGTAGGAAAGATATTCCCTGTAATGCATAACGGAAACATTACTGACATTGTATGAAGACTGTGGAGGAACTCTTTCTGATATCCAATTCTGACTGCCTTATTTTAGCAGAAAAAAAGTTAAACTAGCATAGGTGGAAAGACAGGGATGATCAGAAAGGGCAATAAGTTAATGGCAGTAACTATTTTTTTTTGAGAGCAGACTGGGAAATTCTCAATGCCTTATTTAGCTGAAATCTGAAGGGAGATGAGGTTGCTCTGCATTACTGTAAGCGAGAACAAATGCCAAGCTTGGGCGAGATACTTGGTGTGTCTCTTATACTTCTTGACAGAGGCATAAATACTTAGGAGGTTATCAGGGTACATGTAGACGAGTAACTAGAGGAAATACCTTGCCTGTGGGAAGAGCAAAGTTCTGAAGCAAGTGTGTGCAGGAGTGCCTGAATGGGGAGGAGTGATAGATCTAATGAGTCTGAAGGTGAGACTTGATTTGTTTATGACAGAGATTGTATTATGTGATTGCTTATGATGGCTTCAGAGTAGACCTGATGACTTAATTACTGCACCTGTGGTGTTATGCAGCAATTGTATTGAAAGGCCTGAAATCTCTACAGAATTTCATGAAGCAAGAGAAGTGCAATGTGCCCTGTCAATCCTAAAAGAAATACTACTAGAATAGTTTCTATTTGATTTTTGGGGTTGGCCTTTGAGTTTTTTTTTTTTTAAGATGAAGGAAGGATTTGTTCAGGTTCTATTCAAAGCCAAGAATCAGATTTTACCTGCCCTTGTTCTCAGACATATTTGGCTGTATGTTATCACAAGTGGGTGTACAGTAACATAAGTGGAGAGAAATAAGTATTTGCTAACTATATAATGTCAAGCACATTGATTTTGGTTTTTGGCCCTACTCAGTGTTTTACTTATTCCTTTACTAGTTCTTTAAATACTGTCTATTTGTTTTGAACAGCTTGATAAAACCGGGTTCAAAGCCACCTACAACTCCAGTGAAACTAAAGAAAGTCAGCACCTTCCAAGAATTTGAGAGTAATACAAGTGATGCTTGGGATCTTGGGGATGATGATGATGAACTCTTAGCAATAGCTGCTGAAAACTTAAATACAGAAGTGGTCATGGAAACAGCTCACAAAGTAATTCAGAATCACAGCAAGTTACAAGAACAGCATAAATTTCAGGAAGAACATCTGGAGGAAGAAAAACAAGTAGAATCTGCAGAGCTGACTTCAGTCGCATGTGGTGATAATAGGCTTGTTAAATCAGTCAGTGAAGGTCATACATCGAGTTCATCAGGTATGTTAAGAAATGAAAAAAAAAGTTGAATATCAAGTGAGGAGAGCTATAATATTTGCCCTTTGGGATGTTAACCCCTTCCCAACCTCTTCTTAATACCACAGGAAAATATTCTTAATCAGTATTAATTGATTTGAGGGAGATGCTGCGTGCCATACTCAGCTGTAAAGCACGTGTGTGAGAAATACATGGGTGAAGGAAGAATAATTAAACTTTTTTTGTTTTCAGCTTTAATGCATCCTCAGTTTTGTGAGAAAGTTGCACTATTGAATGTATCTTAATGGTTAGCTGCACCAAGATGTATACAATTAATAGTATTCCTACTGTTGTGAAAAATTGTTATTAAAATGCTGCTGTATAAAGTATATTGAAAAACTGGAGAAAACCATACGTGTGGACTAGGAAGTTTTTGTTAGATTGCTGAGGGGTATAAAAACTGTTTTCAGTAGCACAGAGATTTTAGAAATCAATTAGCCTTGCTGTTATGATCTCTAATTGACGTGTTTTAATTGTGAAATACTGCTTGGAA